GAGATCAGATCTCATACTCTCCAGAAAAGGAGAAAAAGCAGTTCAGCTTTTTCGGTTTTGGTTCTCTCCTATCGCCGCCATCTGCCATTGCAAGATTGGATCTTTGCAGAAAAGAAAGTAAAGAAATCTGTTCTTGACATCAGTTTTGCAAGAAAGACTGAAAAGGTTACAGTGTTTAGTCCTTCCAGAGGATTCTTGTGAATGATCCAGTGTGTAGGACGCACCCTGCTGGTTCTGTTCCATCCACAGCTGTGTCATCTTCAGCAGGAACAGATCTTAGAGCATTCTTTGGGCGTGAACACCAACTTTGGGAGATACTGCTTCTCCGGATCAGGTATATTCCTCCCATTTACCTTTTGGTACAGATCTGGTTTGATTATGGTTCAAGTAGGATCCTTGAATAATATATATTCTAAATTTAGGGAATATGATTCCCAGTTGGGAGAAGGTAGGAAATTTTTGAAATTCGCCCACCTATTCCGCAACCTTTATGGCGTCCATTGGATGGATCCTACCATTCTTTCAGGGAGCCTCTGCAAGTGAACTCTGAGCGCACTTTGTAACATTTCCCTATCAATTTAACATGCATGTTATTCTTTCAATGTGTGACTGGATCTAGATGATATGAGCGCAGGGTTTTTGCTTGCAGGAGATCTGGGTTCGAGATAAATAGGCATTGAACTGATCAGGATATCTTTGTGATATGTAGGTATACATATTGGATTAAGATAAAATATCAAAGCCCATAATCCACCCAATGACCCAGACCTTATATAATTTGGTTGGATTCTCTTGCCTCTTGGGCCTGCTCTACCCATTGTCAACCCTACTCACAATGTAAAGGACTAAATACATAAAATATTTTGTATAACGAAAATAAACATAAAACATCCTTTTCTTACATCAGGTTCAGGACCATTGATTTCTTTTGCCAGCTTTAATATAAATTCACTTGACACCAAGCCCAATTTGAGATGGATGGTTGGATTGTGATAGGTGGTTGACTGGTTGTATAGCCTTATAGATGATGCCTGAAGCCATTATGGTCAAGGGAATGCCACGTGGCAAGAGGATAGAGGATTCCTGCTCGATTAGCTGCAGAAGCGTCCCATTCTAATTTCATGCTGCCTAGACTCAGATTCCAATCAGGCGGTTGCCGGATGCCGGCTGGCTCATTCTAAGTTTCTAACTGTGAAACCACCAATTAACGGAGACCCTCGTACTGATACTCTGATAGTGATCGATCGATCACCCGGTCATCGGTTCAACCGTCCGGTCCGTTACGGGCTGCGTCACCCGTCCAGCGTCCAGCGTCACCCGTCAGCAATGGTCAGAGCAACTAACCATGGTTAATAAAACTGACCTCGGTCTGACGTCCAACCACCACCAAGTCACCGACACTCCGCTCGTCACTCAGACGTTCCAATCTGACAATCTCCAATTCTCCCTGAATGTTATCTTATGTGAGCGGAGTAAGTGGCATTCCAGAAATTTATCACCTAAATCATGGTCAATTGATTTTGACCGCAGGATCTACACTCGTATTATTGGAGAACCGATAAGGGTGTTTTCGTCATTTCATCATTGACAGAAATCTCGTTTACTCTTGAGTGAGGATTGAGTACTGAGGAGGGAGGTGACGAGTGACGACACGAGTCAGTCAGCCAAGGCTGTTTATCCAAAATTTATCCCAATAAATAAAACACTTTCGAGAAATTCTCCAATCCTTCGCCTTTGTATTGTTGTCGCTAGTGTCTCACCTGGTTGACTGGTGCAACGGTGTAATCTGGTCCCTTACAAAAATCTCGTCCATCCGATTTATCGATACTTGATTTGCCACATGCTAGAATATCGAGCTTGTCTTCGTGTGGTGTCTAGGTGGCGTACAGCTGTGCAAATAAAAAGAGTCCAAAACTTTCCTAATAGCCCTTAACATTGCATGGAATGACAGAAAGCGATACCTTCCACGTTTACTGGTTACTGCCAAAAAAATGCAAAATTCCGATAATGTACCCTCCGTGGACCGTTGGATTGATCCCAACGGTAACATTTACCTGCCCAAAATAAGTAAGAAACAAAATAGTCAAAAATCCTTCACTAGTGGTTAAAATCGTCAATATACTAAAAATATAAGCACAATCCCGTAATTTTCATCCAAAGTACAGGGTGTTTCCGGAGTAGTGAATTGTGATATTCTCAACTTCGCAAGCCCAGAGAAGAAGCACGAAAGGAAGAAAATAGCAGAGAAGAAGAGTAGAGAGGAAGGAATCAGAGGATTTCTCTTTTTCGTGTTTTGTTGATTAACATGTGGTTTCGGTAGATATTCATTTTCTTGTCTGTGTTTTTTGTTTTCTTGTGGGAAGAACGAGCCATGGGAGAGTCAAGCGACTCGGTTTCTATTGATGTTGAAATGATACCGCTTGGAGGAAAGGTAACAGAATCCACTTGTAAATCTTGGTCTATTCTTCAATGCTGATCGGTTTTTCTGTTCTAGGATATATTTGCTACTATTTCTGTTGAATATGTTATATTATTTCTCATTTTCGTTATTGTTTTTTCTTTTAGTTTTTTAATTGTTTTGAGCTTTGCAGGAATGTTTGGTCGAGACGAGTAAAGGTTCTATTTCTGTTTTCGTTTGCGGAGATCAAGAAAAGCCTGCTTTAATTACATACCCAGATGTTGCTCTCAATTGTATTCCTCGTTTCCCATTTTGTTCTCACAGTCCAATTTCAAATTTTCAATTCCGGAATTTGATAACTGCTCCCATGTTAATTGAGGTGCTCTGTTTCTAGTATTCTCTATTGGTGAAAGGTTCTAATTGATTTTTGTGTTTCAGTGTTGTTGTATTTATTTTTTTATTTTCTCGGTTTCCACAGATATGTCATGTTTCCAAGGCCTCTTCTTCTGTCCGGGTGCCGCTTCTCTGCTACTTCACAACTTCTGCGTTTATCACATTGATGCCCCTGGACACGAGGTCAGTGTTGGAACTTCTTCCCTGCCTCTAAATGCGTGTTCTTACACTTCTGTATTCCATTGTGTGTTGGGTTTTGTTTTTTTGGCGATTTTAATGGAATCTCTGCAACATTTCTTCAAGTGTTCCTGCAGTTGGGAGCGGTTGTTATTTCTTCCGATGCTCCCTTGCTTACCGTGGAGGACCTAGCCGACCAGGTTGCTGAAGTAGTGGACTTCTTCGGGTCTGTACTCGTTCATTGTTTTCGCTTCATTCGGTCTTGTGATTGTGTGGAAAAAGGAAAAAAAAAACTTTACCAAAAAAGATTAAAATGAAGCTAGATGCTAGGGAGGAAGTTTGTGTTTTGTTTATTTATAGAGGAAAATTTGGGGAGATTAGTCTCTACATTTGGGGAGCTCCTTTTGTGTTTTTCTATCTTTAATTGCTTGCTGTACATGATTTGCTTGTATGTTTTTCTAAGATGGATTAGTAACTGTTGTTAGAGTGTTTTCTGATCTCTCTTTTGCTTGCTGCTATGAACAAAATGCTGTACATATTTGGATTGTTGTGCTTCTAACTGCTTTTCATACTGCTGCATAGGTGTCTGCTTAACCAATTTGGTGTTGCTTGGTTAGCTCCACTGCAGCATTTGCTAATTGCTATGCCTTATACCTGTCTTAGCATACAGAGGCCTTTCTGTTATTTTCTCCTACTTAAATCACAACATTATTTAAAAAAAATGAGTTATGCTGATAATAGATTTGGTCCTATGTTATTATTTCATTAATATTTCTATAGTAATAATGTTGTCTGACCTATTAACTTCTTCCAGTTTCACCGGGTGTAAATCCTGTTCATCATTATGCATCATACTTGTTGCTTAGCCAAGATTATGATTATTTTGCCCTATCTATAATGAAAGAAAACCTATTAGTAAATTCCGTCAGTAAATCTGTATCAGTTCTAGTACTGAGGAATGAGATGTTAGATTGATGGGACATCATGATGTCCAAATTGCCTTATAAAAGTGTGTATGTTTTGATATCTATGAATATGAGATATCAGATGATATGATTTTTTGACACAGGTTTATTATTTGAATGTTTGTAAAATCTTGTCCAGTTACTTGATGTATGAATGCGAGGCATGATATGCTTTACGGTCAAAGTCTTTTGTCCTGATATTACCCTGAAGGAAATATCATATTAATCACTTCTTCAGAGAGGCTTTCTGCCATTATTCCTTCTAAGATAATGTGTGTCCTTAATCCTTATAGCAGTTATATTTTTAAAATATCCAAGTGTTTCCACTCAACAAATGTATGCACAAAACACACTTCTCTTTTGTTTTAGTGAGAACCATTTATCCTAGTCTAGTTTGATTGGAAAGCCCATTTATTATTATGCAGATATAACCCATCTTATAAGTATCGTACTTGGGATGAGCTTTGGTCCTTCTGTTCATGAATTCACATTTGCACCAACAAACGTCCCACAGCACATCCCAACTGTGTATTGGGAAAATCTCTCAATGACAAGTATAGGAGATGTTCCCAATGCAAGTTGAGATGTGCATGTGGGGTGCAGATGTGAACTCTCTCTGTTCAGATTGAGACTGCACCATATCAGCTTTTTCCAGTACTGAATCATTGTTTCATGCTGATGGAGGAAGATTTGGCTCGACCCCTTGGCCACACGACACGTGGAAGCAACCGAGAGTGACCTGGCAGAAGCGCCAGCTCGGCACGGCAGCGGTCCCACAACCCGAGCTCCGAGAAAGGGAGTCCCGAGCTCCCCCAAGAAAGGAACCAGCGACCCGAGCTCTCCCTTAGAGGTCCTGAGCCTTACAAGGAGCGCAAAGGGCAAAAACCCGAGCTGACCCACCCCAGGGCAGTTCGGGCCACACTTCTATCCAAACTCAAGACTTCACCTCGCACACCACTTCGGCTCCAAGTCGCCTGATTGAACAACCGTACTTGACGCCCAGGAAGCCCGTACACGGAGGCGGTGCGCCTGAATGGTTAGAGGCCCGACACATGACAACTGCCCTCCAACGGCCACCTGCCACCGCCATCTCAGACGTAGCAGGGACGGCCCTGACAAGGACAGTGGCAGTTTTGACACCCGAACTGGCAACTGGCAGAGGGTATGACACTTGAACTGGCAATTGGCAGAGGGTATGACACCCGATCTGGCGGAGGTGATGATGCCCGATCTGGCAGAGGTATGGGAGTGAGTGTACAGGGTGATTATAAAAGGCCCCCATCTCCCAAAGAAGGAGGTACGTGATTCTTGTGCTTTCTGGTCTTGAAGTCCCTCATTTCCCTTGCCTTCTCAAGAGCACTAACTTGAGCTTCGGAGTGTTCCAATCGGGTTCCTCCCCGGAAGTCTCCATTTTCTTCCTTGTTTCAGGCACTTCCAACTTCGTCAGAGGCAAGGTAACCGGCAGCTAGGACCGACCGGATTGCGCATCATCATTTGGCACCGTTTGTGGGAAGACTTCAAAAAGCCTCCCCTAACCTTTAATTCTCTCTCTCTCAAAGAAACCTTAGCTTCCATGGCTTCATCCAGCAGCAACAGGCACAATGCCGACTTGAATGTTGTAGGGGAACACCCTCAGCCTGCCACTGTATGTATCGGACAATTCACCGTCCCCCTCTCGACGGACGGAATCCCTAGCCTCAATGCACCAAAAATGGCGGCACCTGTGAATGTTCCCCTTCCCCTCCCTATCGAGACAACCTTCGCCGAACCGGCCGCTGTCCCTCTGGCGACTGGCCAGAACCAGCTTGATGACTTGATGCAGTGCATGTGGGCAATGCAAGCCCAGATGCAGCAGTTCCAGTAGCATCAGCTTCATCAACAGCAAGTACTACACCACATTTCACAGTGTCACTACCGGCAGCAGTTCCCCCAACTGCCTCTGAGTCAACCGCAGCTCCCACCTTGGCACCCTACTGCCAAGCCGGTCAAGCCCTCCCCTCAGAGCGGGCGCCTTCACCGGGGGGAACCTTCCCAACTCCAACACCCCTCTAGGAGCCAGGCCTCATCCCCGGGCAGGAGGGAAAGACTGATTACCCCCACCTCGTAGCTCGCCAGCGGATCAGGAACTTCCTTGCCGACCAAGTCAACACCTTGACACTCCAAGTTCGAGCTCCCGCTCGTAGAGAACCAGTTTGGCGTCCTGGCCGTGAACTACCAACAGTCCGGGCCCATCGAGCTCGGCAACACCGAGGCAAGCAGCGCCAATACTAGGCCTTCTAAGCAGCAGCGAAGACGCCGGCGAAGTCGCCGAACTATCACTCGTGTCCTGCTCGAGCTCCGAGGTAAAGAAGAAACAAGCTCGGACGAGGTGAAAGTTGCCCCTATTCTTTCAGTCCCTTCCCCCCTATCATCAGAACGCCTTGCGGTTCCCATGCCCAAAGATTTCAAACTCCCTCCCCTAGACAAGTATGATGGGTCCTTTGACCCCAATGACCACGTCGATGCTTTCCAGTCCCAAATGCACCTGACGAGGGCCGGCGAGTCCTGTATGTGCGTGGCCTTCACTACCACCTTCAGGGGAGTGGCCCGCACCTGGTACAGGAACCTGGCCCCCGGGTCAATAAGAAACTGGACCCAGTTCGTGCAAGTCTTCACCGCGCACTTCGTAACTAGCAAGTGGTGCCCCCGAACCGAGGAGAGCCTCCTCGAAATAGTCCAGAGGGAAGGAGAGTCTATCTGGGGCTATATCAAACGGTTCAATGACGCGTGCTTGCAGATACCGCGCCTAAACCCCGCGGTACAGCTCGCGGAAGCCAAGAGGTGTGAGACACAAGGAGTTCAGGTGTGGTAGTAAACCAGCCTGCGACCGTGGCTGAATTACTCAAGCTCGCGGACAAATTTATAAGAACAGAGGAGGAGATCAACCAAAGGACTGAAAGCAGGATCGAAAAAAGGAAGAGGGAAGGCGAGCCCTCCAACCCAGATGACAGGAGAAAGAAAGACCCACCCCGGGGGACGAAGCCAAGCCAGCCGTTCCGAGCTCCCTTACCAGGTCGGACGGACTACACACCCTTAAACGCGAAGCGGGCCGAGATCATAATGACAATCGTCTGAAGGGAAACCCGAACGAGAGGAATAAAAACTTGTACTGTAGTTTCCATAGGGACCACGGTCATAGCACCGAACATTGTAATAATCTCTGCGACGAGATAGAAGAACTTATCCGTCGCGGGTACTTGACAAATTTTGTACAGCATAATAATAATAATAAGACAGGTCGGTAGGGGGGGCACAGCAGAGATGCTCCCGAGTCTAGCAGTCGGCCAGCTAAATTGCAGAAGCAGCCCCCGGAGGAATGACCAGTTCGGGGAACAATCCACGTGATCGTTGGAGGATCGATCGTAGTAGGATGCACCTCGGCAGCAGCTCGGGCATCAACCCGGGAGGCCACCAGAGAAGAACAAAATCCCCCAAAGCGGCCTAGGACGGAAGACCCCATATTCTTCACCGAAGACGATGCGCGCGGGGTCCACTACCCCCACGACGATGCACTTGTCATAAAGGTAAAGATCAACGACTTTGAAGTCCGGCGTGTACTCGTTGACTCCGGCAGTTCGGCAGACATCCTTTTTAAAGCGGCCTTTGACAAACTCCAGTTCCAAGAGAGTGACTTGAAGCCCGCGAACACCCCGCTGGTCAGCTTTAGCGGAGAAGAGGTCAGACCCTTGGGAAAGGTCACAGTATCTGTGGAAGTCGGCACATAGCCCAACACGGTAAGACTCAGTCACGATTTCTTGGTGGTCGCGACCCCCTCCCCCTACAATGCCATAGTAGGTCGGCCGATCACCCACGCTTTAAAAGTCGTGGTGTCCACTTACTATTTGGCCATGAAGTTCCCAACGGACTTCGGCATCGGGGTAGTGCGGGGCGACCAGCTCGAGTCCCGCAAGTGCTATGTTGCCGCCCTCAAGGGAAAGGCCAAGGTAACTGGCGACCCCAAACTAGAGCGATCGGTGGAACAGAACGAGGAGCGAGCTGCACCAACGGAGGAAACCGCTCCCATCTCAGTCTCGGCAAAAGACCCCGCCAGATTACTTCAGGTAGGAGCATCCCTGGAAGAACCCTTGAGGTCCGAACTGGTAAGTTTCTTACTCCAAGAGGATGATGTTTTAGAACTGTACCTCTCGGCAAGCGACGAAATGGTCAGTTCGGTACTGATAAAGGAAGTAGATCGGGTCCAATGACCCATCTACTATGTTAG